TATATATATATATATATATATATATATTGTTTATTATGCACTAATGCATTTATCTCGAAACGTTTACAAATTTATTATTATATTTTCAAAAGAATGTTAATTATTCTTAGTATGAATATAAATAAATTATTACTAAATAAAATATAAAATATGATAAACAGTATAAAAATAAAGCAAAATAAATAGTATAAAACATAATAAATAAAATATGGGAAAATATAATATAAAAAAGGTAAAATATAAAATATACAAAAATATAATATAAGAAAAGTAAAATCTTAAATACAATAAATAGTATAATATATAATAAATAAAATATAAAAGAAATAAAATATAAAATATAAAATAAATAGTATAAAAATAAATAAAACAAATAGTATAAAAAAATAAATGTGGAAAATTTTCAGAGGGAATAAATATTCTTATTGTACATGATATAAAATATAAAATATAATAAATAATATAAAAATAAATAAAACAAATAATATAAAATATAAAAAATTAAAAATATAACAAAATTAAAATATAAAATATAAAAAATAAACGTGGGAATTTTACAGACTGAAAATATTTCAATTATTTATGATACTAAAAGATTATTTTCTGCTAGGTCAATAGGTAGGTACACATCGATAAAAGATGTTTGGATAAAATTAGTCGAAGCTTTTGACGCTTTTAGGTTTCTTAGGAATGACTGCGAACTTACACACCAAGCACCGTCCAAACTCGGTCGACCGATTTCATTTGTAGACGATTTTAAATTAGCTCAAGCTATAGTCAACACGCGAATGCTTGGAAAATTTACACCGAGGATGTACTATGGTCTCTCTCTCTTTCTCTCTTTTTATTTCTCCCTCTCTCTATATCTCATTCTTTTGTTTTCTCTCTGTCTTTCTTTAATCATAACTTTAACACACACACACACACACCACGAATTAACTTGATAAACTACAAACACAACAACACTTGTTATATGCTGGTTATGAATTAGAAAAAAAAAGAAACAAATGATGTTATAATAGTAATTAAAAAAAAAAATTACCCCACATTAATCATTTTTTATATTTATTACCAACTATGTGGCAATCGATTACGTTAATAAACTTTTATTACACATTAATGAAAATTTATTTACTATTACTCGTACAATGTGAAATTCTTATTTCTTTTTTTCTTTTTTTTTTATGATTAAGATTGTATGAGAAAATGTTTGTTTTATTGAAAAGATATTATGTAAAACGTTATATAATAAAAAAATAAAAAAAAAAGTATTATTAAAATGATTATTTATAATAATAATAAGATAATAGATAATATCATAAGATATGATAATAAAATTTGAATAATTTGAGTATTATATTTATGGTTTTTTTTTGTATTTGTATATAACTTTCTTATTTTATGGGTTGAATGACTTCTTTAACTAAAAACATCACTTTTTAACATAATTGTTTAATAATAAATCAATGAGGTCACGTGTTTTGTTATTACAGTTTCTCTGGAATTAACAGCAGTAAATTTAATAAAACACGGTTTTTATTTTTTATTTTATTAATTCGTACTTGTATCAGAATCCAATTTATTTCATCAAAATTATTATATAAGATTAATTAATTAATTTTATTTTATTGTTTTTTTTATTTAATTTTCAATTCAATAAATAGAATAAAGCTTCTCTGGAATTAACTGCAATAAAACACAGGATTTTTATTTTTTTATTTTATTTTATTGAACTGTACCTGTATTAGAATCAAATCAAAATTATTAGATAAAACTAATTGATTTTTTAATGTTATCTTTTATGTTTTTTATTTTCAATTTAATGAATCAAATAAACGAACAAAAATTAAAATTAAATTGATTTCTGATTTTTTCTTGTTAAAATTGAAAGTAAATATTAGATCGTGTCAGAGAATGAATTATTTATAAAATTAACAATTGAATTGGATCAATCACAGGTATATTGAGACCATGATGCACCTGTTCAAGGGTAACGTCGGTTCCGGTATTTTTGCATTAGGCGACGCTTTTAAACATGCAGGATTATTATTGGCACCACCATTAACCATCTTCCTCGGTGTCATTTGCGTCCACGCTCAACACATTCTTGTAAGTATTATTATTCAATTAAACAAATATATATCTTAATATATATAAATTACGTGTCACGTTGTTTGTCCGCAATGGACTCCTAAACTACTGAACCGATTTTAATAAAATTTTGCACACTGTGTGCAGTTTCATCCAGCTTGAAAGATAGGATACTTTATATCTCAATTTATAATCTCAATATTATTTTATTGCGAATTATTTGTTTATTAACAAAGAGTCATGACTATATCTGTTAGTTCGATAAGATTCTAACAGATGGCGGTATAAGGTAATTCGTTGACTTAAAGACGTGTGTATCGGACTGATTATGAGTCACAGCAACGCGTGGTGGGGCACCCCTAGTATCTACATATATATGTGAATTATTTATAATAATTAGTTGCAAATAATGCAAGTAGTGCATTTTATTTATTTTTTTTTTGTTTCCAGAAAAATAAATTTTAATAAATAAATCAATTGAAAAATATAATAATAAATTAATTATGTTGAGAGCCTTACAAATGTTTCTATTAATTTATCAATATGTAATATATTTATTTATTTTAAGTGAATTAATTAACTATAATATATATAACAGTATAACATAAGTTATATATATATAACATGGCGCCATCTATTGGAACAATTACCTTATACCGCCATCTGTTAGAATCTTATCGAACTAACAGATATAATCATGACTCTTTGTTAATAAACAAATAATTCGCAATAAAATAATATTGAGATTATAAATTGAGATATAAAGTATCCTATCTTTCAAGTTAGATGAAACTCCACATAGTGTGCAAAATATTATTAAAATCGGTTGAGTAGTTTAAGAGTTCATTGCGGACAAACAACTTGACACGTAATTTATATATATTAAGAATAAGAATAAGATATATATATATATATATTTTTTTTTTAAATAAATGATCCATATATTTTATTTATTATTTTTTTGTTTTTCTTTTTATTTGAAATGATTGAAATATAACAAATATTATGCACCATTTTTGATTAATTATTTTAATAATTAATGTTTGTTTTTGTTTTTTTTTTTGTATTTAGGTACAATGTAACGAAGAAGTTAAACGTCGTATAGGTGATTCAACTATTCAGCCTAGTTTTGCTGGTACTGTTGAATTATGTTTCGCTACGGGACCATTAGCTCTTAGAAAATATTCCGTTTTTATGAGGTAAACAAATACATACAATCTTATAAAAAAAAAAAACATTTTATTTTAATTTCTTATATTTTTTTCTATTTATATTTATCTTATATTCGTTTGTGTATTATTTCGTTTTATTTGTTTCTTTTTTTATTTTTATTTTTGATGACCCATCTCCATCACCTATCTCCACCTACCTACTCAACCATCCACCTCCACCCATCCACCATATTTGATTCGTTACTTTTACATTGCACGCTTTCATCAATTTGTTACAGAAAAATGGTTAATTTATTTTTATGCGTAACACAACTCGGATTCTGCTGCGTTTATTTCGTTTTTATATCGACCAATATGCAACAGGTAAAAAAAACACACGCACACATATTTACATGTGTACATATATATAATGAAAGATAACTATAATAATGAGATTATTTGATTGTTTTTTAAATTATTTTTTGATAAAGATACTTATAAAGATTAATAATAATAATAATAATAATAATAATAATAATAATAATAATAATAATAATAATAATAATAATAATAATAATAATAAAATAATATTAATAAAATGTATTTAGGTATTGGATGCCCACAATGTTAAAATGAGCGTTCACCAACACATGGCAATAGTTTTGATACCAATTGTACTCAGCACATGGATTAGAAATTTGAAATATTTGGTACCTATTACATCCATAGCCAATTTCTTGGTAACAGCTGGTTATATTGCAACAATTTATATTATGAGTCAAGATTTACCAGCAATTTCTGAGAGAAGGTATGTCGCCGATTGGCATGAGTTGCCACTATTCTTCGGCACTGTTATATATTCCTTCGAAGGTATCACTTTGGTAAGTAAAAATTTTATTTTTTTATATTTTTTGGAGCGTAGGAGGAATGATGGATAAAAATATTAGGTCGAGTCATAAATAACTTCCGTTTTTTATGAGACAAAGAATGGTATTTCTGTCGCTGATAAGTGCAAGACACCTTTCATGGAGTTTTTTTTTGCAATCTTTACAATTGTTGAACGTATCTATTGGATTTTGCTCCAATATTACCTTTAAAAGGTTCGTCAAAGTCAGAAATACGTCCTGCACTCGGTTCATCTTTTAAGATCGTATCTCCAGAACGGAATTTTACAAACCAATTTTTGACTGCCCTATCAGTTATCAGTCCTGCACTGTATACGCTGCATATTTTTTCAGTTTCCACTTTAGTGCTATTGCCTTGTTTCAATTTTTAAAGCATTACATATCGAATATGCACTTTTTACTATCCATTTCAGTGGTTAAGAAAAACGGTTAAATGTCACATTGACCGCATAAAAAAGTTAACAGAAGACTAACTGAATCCTCATCTATATAGTGATATTGAAAATCCGTTTGTTTCGATGACTTATAGTAGGTAAATGCGAAAAATAGATTCTACATAGCCGCATCGGAAGTTACTTATGACTCGACCTAATATATATATATATATATATATATATATTAGGGTGGGTCAAAAAAATGACTTATTTTTTTTTTTCAAGTGCCACGCAAAAATGGGTTCCTAGACACCTTAAAACAATTCTCACCCAATATGAGCTCTTAAATTTAATAGGAAGATCCTCCGCATCGCAGTTTTTTATTTTTTTTTTCAGTCTAATAGATTAAAATTCATACCTCATTATTTACTGATTGTACAGAAAAATGTTCTAGACGAATTTTGTAGGAAATTTAATGGTCTACAAAAAAGGTATTTTATACTTTTTTCGTAAACCTCACCATTTGAATGATATTGAAGATTTAAATTTGATGATTTTTAGATAAATCTCATTTTTGCTTATGAATTTTATAACTCGACAATAAATGACTATTAAAAAGTGCACAATACAAATTTTTATAGGAAATTAACTGCTCTATAAAAATGGTGTCTTATGTTTTGGCGATTAAATTAAGCGTTCAAAAGATATTCAGAGACAAAAATCAGTACGCATGAAAGTTTGATGATGAATATCTTTTGAACGCTTAATTTAATCGCCAAAACAGAAGACACTATTTTTATAGAGCAGTTAATTTCCTACAAAATTTTGTATTGCGCATCTTATAATAGTCATTTATTGTCGAGTTATAAAATTCATAAGCAAAAATGAGATTTGTCTAAAAATCATCAAATTTAAATCTTCAATATCATTCAAATGGTGAGGTTTACGGAAAAAGTATAAAATACCTTTTTTGTAGAGCATTAAATTTCCTACTAAATTTATCTAGAACATTTTTCTGTACAATCAATAAATAATGAGGTATGAATTTTAATCTATTGGACTGAAAAAAAAAATAAAAAACTGCGATGCGGAGGATCTTCCTATTAAAATTAAGAGCTCATATTTAGTGAGAATTTATTTAAGGTGTCTAGGAACCCATTTTTGCGTGGCACTTGAAAAAAAAAATAAGTCATTTTTTTGACCCACCCTAATATATATATATATATATATATGCACACACATGATAACGAATTTGATTTATTTTTTTTTTGAAATGGTTACAAAAGGTGTTACCATTGAAAAACGAAATGAAGAAACCAAGTAATTTCAACAAACCATTGGGAGTTTTGAACGTAGGTATGGTCATCGTGGCTTTTATGTTCGTAGCAATGGGTTTTTTATCTTATTTAAAATATGGTGACGATGTACGTGGTTCAGTCACGTTAAATCTCGAATTAAATGAGGTGTAAGTATATTTTTATTATTATTACTTTTTTTGTTCATTTTAATTTAAAGAAGAAATAGATTGGTTTATTATAATCGTTGTTCGTGTCAGCAATGATTTCAATATGTTTAACCAGTTAAGCGTGCTTGTCGACTATATCCGTCATGGAGATGTGGCAAAATTTTGTGTTATGACATCTAAATCCGTCATGTGTAAAAGTTTGTTATAATTGGATGTTTAAATTGTAATTTTGGCGTAAAACTAAATTATATTCGTAAATTTTAATAATTTTAAAATGTTTAAAGGTCAAAAAAAAATTAAAGTCAAGAATAAATTTTTAACTTCTATAAATATTCGATTTTTTTCTCTAATTTTTCCGTTTAGTATGTATAAATATATATTAATATTAAGAAACTGTGTATACATTACTAAGAAAATTGTTCATTTTCTAAAATAAAGTCGTCTTTTTGACTATCCAATATTTTAACAGCGTCACTTACTCTGTGTTTGACGACTATATCCGTCATCGCTTGATTATCGCGACACACCCGGAGCCGCGCTTTGCGCACAGATCGCCACACTTAACTGGTTAAATAAATATAATATCAAAAATTTTTCATTAATACAATTGGTCTCGATAAGAAAACTATTTTTTAATATACACACACATTAATAAATACCGTCAAATTGAAAATTATTAATTTTTATTTTTTTTTTCAAACGTTGTTGAAAAAAATTCTTTTATTTTGTATTGCATTGTGCAAAAAAATTAAAGAAAAAATAATGTGAATCCAAAACCAAAAACAAAAGATATATTTTTTGTTCGTATTTTACGATTAAAAATAGATAATATTATTTATTAAATAATAATAATAATAATAATAATAATAATAATTGCAATTGCATTTGCTTGTGCATGACCATTAAATTATATTTAGTGTATTGCATTGAGTATAATTATTAAATTATGAAATGAACATTGCGTATATTAAACGAGTAAACTCAACAAACTTTGTTGTTATTGTTGTTGTTGTTGTTTTGTTATTTTTTTTTCTCGATTTCTTTAAACATAAATTTTTTATTGTTGCATACCAAGAGTGGACGGGAAAAAGATCTACTCGCAGGCAAGGTTTATACCAATTATTCTCTGATAGATGTGCAGTGATTTTACATTTGCATTTGCATTTTTGTATTCTTTTTGGCGTATTTTTGCATTGTTTTAATTTTCTTCTCATTCTAATCAATGATTTACAAAAACAACAAAAAACAAGAATTAACTTTGATAATTTAACAATATTAATTTTTAGTTAATGATTTATAATTATTGGTCTTTTTTTGTGGTTTACAAAATTTTGTTCTTTGCATATGCACGAATGATAAAAAAAATTGTGTGTGTTAATGACATGATAATTATAAAATAATATTTGGTTAATTTATATAATGTTGATTATTATCAATAATATATATTTAATGTTATATTAAATATCATATAATAATTATAAAATAATATTATTGATAATTATTATTATATCAATAATTTATTATTAATAATATTGTGTTATAATATTAAATGATCATTTATTTCGATCATCACATCATATTACAGCTTGTTGTTCATTTCTTTTTAGAAATTTTACAACAATTTTCCCTATAACGAACACAAGAAAATTATACGTTTTAATAATTATACGTTTGTGCATTTTTCTAAGTTACTAACGAAAGTTCTATTTTTACAGCTTACCTCAGTGCATCAAGATTGCTATTTCTTTGAGCATTTTGTTGACCTACGCATTACAATTTTACGTACCAATTGCTATCATTTGGCCTGGTATTGTTGAACAATTTGGACCATTTAAATGGCCAGTAGTAGCAGAAATTGTTTTTCGATCTGCTGTATGTTTTGTTACTTGTAAGTATTTTCTTTTAATTATTCAATTAAATTACACGTATTTTGAACACGTATCAATTGAAATAATAATAAGATGTAAATATAAGAAATGAAACATTATTAAATTTTATTCAATTATGAATTCTATCAAGTATCAAATCAACATTACTATAACATTAAATATAATAATAAACAAATAAAATCAATTAAAAATGAAAGTTTATAAAAATTGTAACAGTTACAGTTTCGTTGTGTTTCCATAGTAAAAAGAAACCAGCATAATTTTGTATATGAGTGTACAAAATGAACATACATTATACCATAATTTTATTTACACAGTAATATTATTTTAATATTTGTATTGTATAAATAAGTATTAAAAAAAATAAAATAAATAATTTATACAACACTCATGTACAAAATGAACATATATTATACGATAATTTTATTTATACAGTAATGTTAAAATTTTAATTAATTATTGTATTGTACAAAATAAATAAATAATTAAAATTGTATATTTTCAGTTGTATTGGCCGAGGCAATACCAGAACTGGGTTTGTTCATATCATTGGTTGGTGCAGTTAGTAGTACAGCACTGGCATTACTATTTCCACCAATCATCGAATTGGTAGTATGTTGGCAAAATGTTAATTTAAGTCCCTTCACGATTATTAAAGACGTGACGATAGTGCTGATTGGTTTATTAGGATTTGCTACAGGAACATACGAAAGTATAACGTCGATCATTAAAGCATTCAATAAATAAGAATCCCCCCACCACCACCACAACCACCACTACCACTACTACCATCCCCCACCACTTCTTCACGATATATTGTACAAATTTATTTCTTAGTTAGATTATTATTATTATTACTATTATTACTATTATTATTATTATTATTATTATTATTATTATTATTATTATTATTATTATTATTATTATGATTGTTATTATTATTATTTAATTAAATTTTATTTGTAAGGAATAATACTAAGGACGCGCGTGCGAAAATAACGGACCATGACATCCACACACACATACATATGCGAGTAGATGTAATGGGACTGCTAAAACGCTTGTCAAGATATCTTTATTATTAATTATTAATTATTATTATTATAACTAATTATATTTATATCTATAAATATGTATTATATAGTTATAGCGTAAAGTAACTATTTAGATTAACTTTTTATTTTTTTTTATTTTGGCGCTTGAAGGATGGCCAATGAACGACGAGGAAAAAATTGATATGACGCAATTTTTAAACATATTATTTTTTTCTTCTTCGTTTTGTTTGTATTATCATTATTTTCATATTTTTATTTTATTCTTATTATTTTTTTTTTGACCAGTCGTTATTATTAAACGAATAAATTGTACACCAATGAACGACAAGGAAAACAATTGATATGATATGATGCCATTTTTAAACGTACTAATTATTTCTCTTTGTTATTTGTATTATTATTATTATTTTTATATTTTTGTTTTATTCTTCTTCTTTTTTGAAATTAATTGACAATAATTTTATTTTTGCTTTTGTTTTGTTTTTTTTATTTCTTTTTTTGACCAATCGTTATTATAATAAACGAATAAATATAAATTGTACATTTGTGATTCTCCTTTTTTTTTTTTAGTTTAAACGATAGATTAGAAAAATAAAAAAAGGATATAACGACAGGTTCGTCCTTCTGGCGTTGAGCGCAATTTAATTTAATTTTATTTGTAATTTTATTTTTAAACGTATCAATGTGTTTGTTTCTTTTCATTTTCATTTTTTAAATGTTGTTGTTGCTTGTGATATTGAAAACGATGCGTTAATGCGGATTTTCAATCGTAGATCGATTTTTAAACATATATATATATATTTATAATAATAATAATAATAATAATAATTAATTAATTAGTTGATATATATATTTAATAAGTTATATTTTTAAGAAAAAAAAAAAGAAAAGAATAAAAAGCCAAGAAGAAGAAAAAAAAACAACCAACAAAATAAGATGAAGTAGAAGAAAAAACCTCTGACTGTATTTACAATTATCGTGATAAACATACTATATACATATATATATATATATATATATAGTTTATACAGTTGCCCGTCCTAAAGATTCCACTCCCCATCCCCAACATTCAACCCCCGTTTCCCATATTAATTCATTAAATTCATTCTATGTACATACATATGCATATAACGTATACAGATACATATACATATCAATTTATATACAGATCATTAATATAAATTATATATAATAAACATGTTTATACATATCGTATTTTGATTTAAGACAAAAAAATTTGGATCTGTATTTTTAATATCCGTGTGCGTACTACGTGACAAGCGAAATAAGAAAAAAAAATTGTTTACTTATAAATTGTCATCGATAATAATTTTTTATGTCTTTTGTTTTATGGGAAAAAATCA